GGGGTGAGCATGTGGGGCTGGAGAGCCAGCGCAGGGGTGAGGGTTTGGAACTGGAGAGCCAGTACAGGGGTAAGAGCGTGGTGCTGGAGAGCCAGCACAGGGGTGAGGGTGTGGGGCCGGAGAGCCAGCGCAGGGGTGAGGGTGAGTGTGTGGGACTGGAGAGCCAGTGCAGGGGTGAGAATGCGAGGCTGGAGAGCCAGCACAGGGGTGAGAATGCGAGGCTGGAGAACCAGCACAGGGGTGAGCGTGTAGGGCCGGAGAGCCAGCGAAGGGATGAGGGTGTGGGGCTGGAGAGCCAGTACAAGGGCCGGCGAGCCAGTGCAGGGGTGAGGGTGAGCATGTAGGACTGGAGAGCCAGTGGAGGGGTGAGCATGTGGGGCTGGAGAGCCAGCGCAGGGGTGAGGGTGTGGGGCCAGGGAGCCAGAGCGGGGGTGAGGGTGTAGAACTGGAGAGCCAGCACAGGGGCGAGCGTGTGGGGCTGGTGGCCGACCACCCCGCCTGGACCCCAGGGCCACACAGAGGCTCCAGAGAACCTTCCTCCTTCTTGAGCTCTCGTGGATTTTGGAGCCACAGGCTTTAAAAACTGGGGAGAAATGTTGGAGGAAAAGGTCACGAAATCACTAAGTGACCGAAACCACCTGCCCACCATGCCACAGAAAAAAGAGAGTAAATAAGGGCGAGAAACCTAACCCGGATCAACTCCGTGGGTCCCCACAGGGAGCTGCATGGACACAGGACAAGCCGCTCCATCCCGCACGTGCTCTGGCTGGGCCCGCGTGTGTCCCCACAGAGCATGCTCGGCGGGGCCGGCAGGCAGACGCTGCCAACACAGGCACGCTCACAAAACGTCAACTCCAGTCCACGTTAAACAAGGTGGCGTGAAACGTACATCACCCGCGCGGCGCGGGTCGGGCACGTTCCAGGCCGTGTGCGCGAGCAAGGCCGGCCCACTGGCAACGCTGACTGAGACATGTCGCCGAGAAGCCGTCACTACGGAGGCCCTGCACATGTCCCAGTGATGCTGCTGTCAGCCCAGTGTTAAGTCCCGTTTTAG